TAATATTTCAAATTTTTGACAAAGAAAAACCTTGTGACATATTGACACAAAAGGACCTTGTATTAAATATTGACATAAAATTATTAATAATGAAGGACCTTATGACATATTGACAGTAAAACACCTTATATAAAATATTGATAGCAAAGAATCTTGCTTTATTTTTGCTTTTTTTTCTTTTTTTACAATAATAACGTTTATGTTATTTAGCCCTTAGCAATTAATGCCAACGAAAGGCCCATTTTCATAATTTGTCCCAACTTCTTTTGTTAACAAAAAAATTTGTGGTGCAATTTTCTTGAGCAATTCTCCTTAACTTTATTCAAATTTATCAATGGCACTCCATTGTTTATTTCAATAATGACTTATTTTAAATTAAGAATAAAGTCCTTAGTTTTTTTTAATAACATTTTAATAATTTAAAGTCTTCAATTATTATTAATGCTTTTATAAAGATTGTAAATGTCATTTTTCCTTGTTTTTTTCATCGCTATCCTATCAATAATTATTTTTAAAAAGATATTTTCCTTTGATTTCTATGAACACCAAATTAATTTTTAACAATTGTTTCTGTCCTGTTTATATTATTTCAAAAATTTATGAGACATAACCCCACATAACCGCCGTACTTTCTTTGAAAGAATAATTATTAAAGCGAGAGGTGCCAAACCAATCCAGAAAACGTCACAATAAATTGTTGAGAAATTAAAACAGAGCCACCAATGATGGGTGCTTGAGCCAGGTACAGATAACCCAAACTACGTCCATGTGTGATAACTATCCTCCACCCAGAATCATTGTTTGTCAACATCAAAATCAACGTACTTCGCCTTAGCCCCCAATCCCAAAAATATCTAAATCTTTTCCTAAGGAAAAAGAAAGAACAACAACAGCAACAACAAATTACAAATATATAATTTGAACTTTAAATGATAAATTTAGGTGTGATTTAAAATTTTTTTTAATATATTCTAAATTTTAAATAATTAAAATTGCTGTACTCTCATCCCGCCATTAAATTAAATCAAACATTCATTATTTTTTTAATACCTAAATTGAATTTTCACCTAATTCATCTAATTTCACTCTCCCTCTTTCTCCTACCCTCCTTTAAAAAAAATTACTTATTAGGTCCCATTATAAGAAAACAACAACGAATGTTTACTTTAATTTAACAATAGGAGTGGAATTGTACCAATTTTAATTATTTAGAGTTCAAAATGTATTAAATAAGAGTTTAGGGTTCAAATCATCCTTAAACTTATAATTCAAGGTTTCAATTACATATTAACCCTTAATTTAATTGGTTTTTTTTCAGTTAATTCAATTGATTTAAATGCTTGTTTTTCTTATGCAATTTCCTTATTCAAGAACCCAATTTCCTTCTATAAATGGGGAAAATTTTCATCAAAATATTTTATATTTTCTCTAATCCTAAATATACAATTCCTTTATTTAACTTTTTTCATAGCCTAAAATATAATATTTTTAAACTTATGGTCATATATATATTAGTTGCCTTTCATACAAAAAGTAGAGTATTATTTTTTTGTCAAAGTACACATTTGACCTCTACTTTATATAAAGTTTTAGTTTAATCATATTAATTTTATAAAATATATTTTCTGTCTTCTAATTTTAATATCATCAGTCTTAATAATAATTTTTTTGTACCAATCATTGTCATTTAAAAAAAGTAAATTTAATATATCAACATTTAAAATTGTTTTGTAAACATTTAAAAGTTAAAAGTTTTCATTTCTTTTAATGAAACTAATAGCGTTAGGATTAAAAAATATTTTATAAAATTATGAAACTAAAATAAAATATTTGGTGAAGTTAAAGAATCAAAGATGCACCTTTGCCATTTTTTCTATAAAAAAAGTACACTTCTTTACCATTGCTTGTATTTTTTTTTATATGTTTTAGAAGTCAAACTGGAGGTTAAATTGGAAAGATTAACATGTTTCAATTTTTATAGTCTAATCAATAGACCAGGAGTTGAACTAATAATGTAGTAATTAAATAAAAATAATATTAAATTTTATATATAAAAATGTGTGTGTGTGTGTGTGTGTGTGTGTGTGAGAAATAAATTCATAATATGTCTAGTTGTTGATAAAATAACACAACATGATCATAAATCAATAATATTTTAAATTATGATTTCATAATTTATTAAATATAGATGGATCTTGGTCAAATAATTAAGTATGAATAAATTCAAAAGTATTTGCATCTGTATTTATAATTATCAATGTCTTTTTAAAAATAGTAGTCTCAAATTATATTATATATCTCTATATATGAAGGATAAAAAATGAAGTTGATTTTAGTATTATCTAATTTTTGAATTTTTCTTTTTGTTTTAAAAAAATTTAGCATTTTTGTATTATATTTATACTTGTTTGATTTTTTGAAAACCATTCTAGTTTCTTGCTCAACTCCAGTTTTCAATTAAACAATGATTTAATTTCAATCCAACTTGACACAATCATGAAAATGTTTTTTTTTTTTCATCTACCAAGCCATTAACAATTCTAGTCAAGCATCCAATTAGTTTGACCATCTAGTTAGTCTGATTCTTGAACACTGCTTTTTTTTTTTCCTTTTTAATTCATGCTTTAAAAGTAGGGTAGGCCTAGAAAGTTATTTAATTTTAGACTATTTTAACAATTTAACTACCCGTTTAATTAACGTCTAATTGTTAGAAGTGCCTTCTAGCTATCTATGATAATATACATTATCCCAACTTTTTCTAATAAATTTAAATACGAGTAGGTTTAGAAGACAAAGTGCTACTCCCTTTGTTAAAAATATAAGGCATTTTTTTAAAAAGTTGGATGTTAAAAAATGTAAAGTATTTTTAGTCTTTTGAGATATAATCATTGCCTTTTTTTTCAAAAATGTCCCTATTGATAATGACTTTATATTTATTATAGAATGTTTAATAGGGATGAATATAAAAAGATAAGATTAGTTTAAAAGTATGTAACTATTTTATTTAGTGTAAAATTCAGTTAAAAATATTTTACATTTTAGAATGGAGGGAGTATATGATTTTTCATTGGGAGAGTATCATTTAGGGCCATGGGGAGAGAATTTATAACATGAAAGGCAAAAGCATTATGAAATTACATATTAGCATATGATTGTTCATATAGTGACAACAACTCATCAAAAATTAACAATGGCCATGGAAAGGTTTCGAAACTAAATTTATGACATATATATTATTTTTTAGCATAATATTGATAATTTGTCAATAATAAAGAAACAAGTTGGATTTGAAAATTAACAACTCATTTTTTAAATATTGACAACTCAAGTTCAAATGTATTAACAATTGATTGTTTAGATATTAACGACTCACCTATAATTATTGAGAGCTCAGCAAAATGCTTGCTTGGAAATTATACTTATAATATATATATATTATTTTCCATTATATATTTTGAAGGTTTAGCTAACCCAATAATCTTTAATATTTTTAGGGAGCCAAAGGGTATTGGGTTCAAGCTCCCTTTGGCCATTGTCCATAGTTGACCACCATTAACGTCACCATTGCTAGAGCTTCAACAGCCAATAATGGTGGTCAACTAGACGGTAGTCGATGGTATTTTAAAAGAAAAACATACGAGGGCATTTAGGTAATTAATTTTTATAATTTAATTACATTTAAAGATTTTGGGCCTATCATGTAATTTTAAAATGTTTCAGGCCCTTCATGTAACACTAAGCAAACGGGCTACAAACTAGCTCATAGGTTAGCACTTGTAGGTTGGCATTTTGACAGGTTGGGTTAGGGTTAGCTTACCAAATAAACAAGTTGAAAAAACCTAACCCAACCCATTAACTAGCTAATTGGTGAACCCACAAGCCAACCCACAAAATGCACTTGAATTCTTTTTTTTTTTCTAGAATTATTTAAAATTTACATAACATGTACATTTAAAATTAATCTAATTTTAGTCCACAGTTGTCATAAATAAGTGATAGTATTTATAAGTATATTATAATTAATAAAATCTAATCACGTACACGTGAAATTACATTAAGCTAATATCAAAATTAAAATTTTGTAGATATACTAAGCCAGGTTAATTGGTTAACTGACACTACTCACACGTGTTAGTTAAAAGGAATTCATTGCTTCATAAATCATTGGCTCTTTTTTTGTTAGGTAATTAATTACACGTTAATAGCATGTTAGTTGAAAGGAAAGGAAAAAAAAAACAAGAAGATATTTCTTCATCCCTGTGAAAGAGTCAGGCACATATATATAATATAATGTCTCAATATATATATATATATATATATTATATGATAATGATTTCCAATTCACAACTCACGAGTCACAAGTGGCTGTGTACACAATTCCATTGGTTCTATATACAATTTTCTCTATATTCCTACCTGAATAGAAAATTTAAGATTCTTAGGCAGTGTTTAGGATTACAAACATAAAAAATTTGCCAAGTCAAACATGTGGGCTAGTGAACATGATTTTTTTTTATTTTTTTTAAATTGATTAGTGAATTAGCTTGTTTAACTCACACATTTTCATTGTTAAGTTAAAAAATTGGCTTATCAACCCAACCAATCAAAATTGACAGACTAACCACTGGCTTCTCAGGTTAAGCCCATTTACTAAGCTTTACTTTCATGTTATAAATTCTCTTCTAGTGATCTTGAATACTATTTCCCCTATTTCATTTTTTTTAAAAAAATTAAGATTATTATTTACCTCTAACTAATTTCTTTGATTCAAGAAATTCAGTAAAATGTGATAGAAGCATTATATAATTTGATTTAATTTAACTCAATTAGTGGCAAAAAAAAAAACCTAACTCAATTAGAATGGAAACCAAAGGCTGGTCGGGATTAAAAAGATTAAAGGTTAAAAAAGAAAAAAACAACGGCCAACAAATTACAAAAAGCAATCGAATTGTGTCAGTCAAGCCACAGAAGAGAGGGGCAGCTTTATCTTGGGCTTTTTCTTTTCTTTCTTTTCTTTTTCCGTCCTCTGACATCTCTTCCAATCCCCTTTCATAGTAATGATTCAGCAACGACAACATACCCTCTCTTCCTCTCCCTCTTCCTCCCTTCTCTCTCACACGCACCCACGCCAAACCCCACACGCTTCTTCTCTTTCTTCGCGTTTCCCAATTCTGTGTTCCTAATCAGACGTGCTGCAGAAAGTTGTGCGTGTCTAATCCCGGTAGAGTGGTCCTCACTCTCATCCTCAATAACCTCCTCCTCCAATTCATTCCTTGCTTTTGTATTTTTCGCTCTTCCATTTTGGCTTTTTGTATCGGAAAATGCAAGAAGCTGGACTGGGAATTATGAGTGGGGATTTGAGAGGAGAATTGTCGCCGTCCGGCGAGCTCCTCCGGCAGCTTAAGGCAGAGATAGCGACACATCCTCTCTGTGGGCAGCTTGTGGCGGCACATGTCGGTTGCCTCCGCGTCGCCACTCCGATCGATCAGCTTCCTCTTATCGAGGCTCAGTTACCGCAGTCTCATCAGCTTCTTCGTTCTTATGCCTCCCTTCATGCTCATTCCCTTTCACCTCAAGATCGCCAGGAGCTCGACAACTTCCTCGTACTGCGATTTTTCTTTTCAACTTCCATAGATTGATTTCGGGATCTATATGCTTCATCTCTCAAACTTCAATTTCTTACTCGTTAGAGGTTAAACCGTTAAGATACTCTTCAAGAATCAAATAATCAATCATGACAGGAGAAAATCATACTTCGCAACCCTTTTTTTTTTTCTTGGGGTTAATTTTGAGGCTAAATAATTTAATTATTTCTTATAACAAATTTTGCAGGCACAATATTTGGTAGTGCTGTGTAGCTTTAAAGAACAGCTACAGCAGCATGTCAGAATTCATGCGGTGGAGGCTGTTATGGCCTGTCGTGATATTGAAAACACCTTACAAGCTCTCACAGGTATTCTTCCTGTAACTTTTGGTGCTTGTTTCATTTTCATTTCTTTGATTTTTGTGATCAATGATTATGCCATAACATTAACAACTGCCGCTAACTTAAAAAGGGTAAAAAATATTTGTCCATATTTAACCTCAATATTTAGTGAAATCATTTTTATGGTTAATTGAGTGGTATTGCGTTATTTTGATACATGACATCAATACAACTTATAACTTACTGATACAGAATTTTTTATGAAAGTACAGTATAATATTTTTTTTCTTGATCAGCAGTGCAGTATAATTTTTGCAGCTTTTGTCTTCACGCATTTAGCATGTTAAACAAATACTGTATAATATTTTAATAGTACAACAATAAAATGAATCAAATCGTATATCTAGAATCTGTATAATTTTTTGTGGGTTCTGGGTATGTCTCAAAGGATAGTGGCATTATCTGGACGAATGTGTACAGAATATATGGGCTTATGGGAAGGTCTCTTAGTGGTCTATAGTTTGGTGGAGAGCGATATTCCCACAGCATTCTCAACAGCCTATATTTTCTGTTCAAGAAAGTAGCTTTCATACAGTGCATTTTCTGTTACCGAGTTGCGTGAAACTTCAGAATTTATACATGTATAACATTTGCAAACTACACTACTTATCAGTTATAATAATATAACTTAGTTATTCTTCGGACTTTGTATAAATACATGAAAAAGTATTTTTAATTTGACTGACTGTTTTATTTGATTGCATAACGATAAAACATAAATTAAATATCTGCAAATCCATAGTGTTAGACTGTTAGCCTTTTGCTAGTGTACGTCATTTCTGATTTTGGTGAAAACTGTTGATGTGTCCTAATTTGTTTTGGCATCATTGAAACTTTATTTTGAGAAGATGTTGTGAAACGTACGAAATAGACCCAAATATTTTTCTCGTTCGTCAATCAAAATCAACATCAGCATCAACGATAGCCACTATTCCTGATATGGTAGTATTGCTACCTCTGTCAGGTTATCACTATCTGTTCATCGGGTAATGGAAGTCTCATTATAGAATTATAGGCAATAAATGCCTTTTAAGGATGTAAACTAAAAAGAGGTTTTTCATGTGATTTTGGTCAATTTTACTCTTCTTTTTCTGAATAGAAAAGGCAAGTACAAACATTTGAAGCAATAAACCTAATAAACACGCTAATCCTGGGGATTATGCGCCACTGCCCCATTGTCCCATGTTTTGGTCAGTTTTACTGATCATTAAAAAGGATCCATTTCTTCAAGTGTGTGTGTGTGTGTCTATATGCTGGCATCAAACATTGCATAATTCATTTAGATGAAATGTAAATGCAATTTTTTTATAAATAAATTGCTCATTCTGCTTTGTGCAACTTTTTTTTCATTTTTTTAAATGACTTTCTTGTAAAATGTACATTTTTCAAAATTTTTAATACCTAACATTGTCAATAAATTGTTTATATATAATAGAACAAAACTTGATTGTGTATTTACCAAATGAAGCAACTTATATGTATATATAGGTTGCTACATTTTGTAAATAAATAGCAACATATATATAAACATTCTTTTATGGTTACCGATTTCATTCATGTGCTCCCCTATTTCAAATTCATTTCAATTGTGTGATATGTTATTTTAAGTGGAAATTTTCGTGTTTCATGAAGTAATATGCGTTTGCCCCAGGACATCACTATTCAGTTTTGATACTTGAAAGTGTCAAAGAAAACTGATTTTTTTTTTTTTTTTTACTTCTCCTTCTCCTTCTCCTTCTTCTCCTTCTTCTTTTAACCTGGACAAAACTGAAGTGAGGTTTAAACCATTGCTTAATAAATTAGGAAGTTAATTAGAAATGTTTTAGTATCATGCATTTTTGTGTCTATTTTGTTGTAGCATCATGGTATATATGGATCACATACATAATATGGTTAGCTGACACGCATCTGACTTTTTTTAAGCCAATATGGCAACTTAATATAAAGAGATCAGGAGAGAGAGAAGGAGAATATGAGAAAGAAGTTAAGAACTGAAGTCAAATGCATAGGATTGTATTCAACTTGATTTTAATTGATAGCTCATAGGTATGCTCTTATTGGAGCAATATCCCATTCAAGGCATGGTTAGGCATTAATTGTGGGCATATTTTTCAGCGGGTATTTGAATTTTGGTTTGCCATGTTGCAAGGGAGCAGCCTCTTCCATTAGACTCAACTTTATTTTCTTACATCAAAACATATATAAAAATATCTGCCTCTAGGTTTAAAGTAAAATGAGCAAGAGATATTATTTCGTTGACCTGAGGGATATTTTTTGGGATTATAATAAAATTACAAAAAAATGCAAAGAATGTCCTTTATTTAGAGGGTCAAACAATTTAGGTATAAAAAAAAAGAGGGTCGAACAATTTATTCTCGTCAACTTTAGGTGGCTAAAGATTTCCAAACTTTTAGTTTTGTAATATAACTCTTAATCCAAAACCTTATTTCTAATATTGACTATATATGTAAGCCAAGTAGTTAAACTAGAAAAGAAAGAGGAATTGCAAATCCAAATGACCAAACAATGGCCATTTGCCCAGTCCAGATAGAAAAAAATGTGAAGGGAAATGAAAAGGCAGTCATAGGTTGTTACTTGGGATGACAGGTTGAATAGCTATTGAAATTGAGGAGATTAAATTACGCAGCTCTCAAAATTGAGGAGATTCTTTTTCAATTTTGGCCTAATAGGAATTATATTCTATATAGGAGATCTTTGGCTGTACAGTGTCAACTATAAATAGCTTAAGCCTTCATTGATAAGGATGACATATACAGATATACTACACACCCCCATCTGGCAAAAAGGACGTCTACTAGTTAGATTGGCTTTTTATGTCTTCCACTTTTGTTTGATATAAGTGGCAAAGCTTGGTTGTCTTCATACTTCTGGTTTATTTGGGACTAAAATTAAAACTTTCTCATCAATTATGTCTTTTTCCAAGGGAATCTGAGATAAGGTTGAGAATAATTAACAATCTGCATGCCTCACCTTTATCGTTATCAATCATTACAATTAACAATACTAATACCTGCACGAAGACGGATGGTCTAGGAATTCTATCAATGCAATCATATATATACTTTTAATTCTAAGATACGTGTCAGGTCTGGTGCACTAATCTAGTAACTCTAAGCATGTGTCTAAACGTTATAATTTAGGAAAAGCAATCATAAGTTCCTTTAGTTTCATTGAGTTTTGCTTCTAATTTTTGTATCCTTTTCAGTGTTTTCAGTATTTATAGTTTTAACAATATTGAGTGACATTTGTCACTTAAGTTCCTATAGTTTCAATCAAAAAACTATAGGGACTAAAAGCAAAACTCAATAAAATTATATGGATTAATGATTGTGTTTTTCCCATAAGTTATAATCATATGATAAAAGATAAACTTGACTTGCTGTGGTTGATAATTATTTGGAGCAAAATATGATAGAAACTTTGCAAAATATGGGGTGAGATGATATATTTTTTTTTCCCCGGTGATCGTTTACATATATCAGGAGTGACTTTGGGAGAAGGAAGTGGGGCAACAATGTCAGACGATGAAGACGAGTTGGCGATGGATTTCTCAATGGATCAGTCTGGCGTTGAAGGGCATGACATCATGGGTTTCGGTCCATTACTTCCTACAGAATCTGAAAGGTCTCTGATGGAAAGAGTTCGTCAGGAACTAAAGATAGAGCTGAAGCAGGTCATTTTAATTTATTCTCTGAAACCAGTCTTGTTTATTATACGGTTCTAATCACTTCCTTTAAAACAGTGCGAATTGATTAACCTGGTCTAGCATGCATGTGCAGGGATTCAAGTCAAGAATTGAAGATGTGAGAGAGGAAATTCTAAGGAAAAGAAGAGCTGGGAAATTACCAGGTGACACAACTACAGTGTTAAAGAATTGGTGGCAACAACATGCTAAGTGGCCCTACCCAACTGTAAGTTTTATCAACAGCAAAGTGCGAATATTAATTGACTATGACCCAAAATTAACATTGCCATGTTATTCTTGCCAGAACATAACCAGAGAGTCTTGGGTTTTGGTTCTGATCATTTAATGATATATACAAGTAGTGACTATTTGATATGAATCACAACCTATTATACTTTTCAGGAAGATGACAAGGCGAAACTTGTGGAGGAGACAGGGTTGCAGCTGAAGCAAATTAATAACTGGTTCATCAACCAAAGGAAACGAAACTGGCACAACAACTCTCAGTCTGTGACCTCTTTGAAGTCCAAGCGCAAGAGGTAGACTTCGCTTGATGCATCTATATGGAACAACTAAGGCCGATACATATATAAACTAGTAGTTTTATAATAATAGCTCAAGAAAGTTCATATTTATAAGCTTTCTGCATTACTTATAGGAAAGAATTAAGTGTTTTTGTTTTTTGGGTGTGAAAGTTAAGTGGTTATTTTTCACTGTGGTTGTAAATTGTTTACTGCGTGTCTGACCAGTTGAACAAGAAATATTGTATATGTTGCTTGAAGGATTCACAAATCTATTTAAAGGCTCTAAGTTCTGGATCAGCACGTACGGCGGGCATGTATTTTCCAGTTTCGTCAGTCTTTTGGGCCGTTCAATGAGAATTGAGAGGAATGAGAATGCTTTTTTAGTTTTGGGAAGAATGACAAAGATATTTTAAAAATATTAATTAATTCAAATTATGTCTTAAGTATTAAACTTTAAAAATTTGTATGTCTATCTCTTAATTTTATAAATGTGTTATGATGAATTTATAATTTATTTTTAAATTTTAATATGGTTGAAAAATAAAAAAATTATTTTTTTATTAAAATTTAAAATACAAATTACAAATTTATCATAATAAAATTAATAAATTAAAAATTAAATTATAAATTTTTAAAATTTAATGCTTAAAATTTAATTTAAATTAATTAATCTTTTTAAAACCTTTCTGTCCTCCCTTAGTTTCGTATGGATGAAAGAAAGCAATGATTAAGATGGAGGTGATGATCAGTTACCTTTACAGGGCGCTCGAGAATGCGGCTTCTTTTAACTTTTTTTTTTTTTTTTTGAGTAAAAAGAATGTGCCATTTTATTATTGTCAAATCCAAACTAATAATTCAGAGAGTGGGTAGCACGGATTGTGGCATAGTGCGATTATTTCCCTAGAAACATTGCGCCTTTAAATTTTCAACAGCTTGCGCGACAAAAGATCCTTAAGGAGCATTTATGGCAAGCCAGAAAGAATGATATTACTTGAGACATTTTGCAATCTTTTCTGTGATAGATTTAAATTTTAAAATTTAATTTATACTACATTTATTTTATTTATAAACCACTTTTAAGTGTCTCATCACAGTTAACATGTTAAATTATAAGTAAAATACAATAATCTCCCTTCAAGTTTGTTAATATTATAGAGACTTCTTTTTTGTTTTCAAAACTTACATTTGAATCCATTTTTTAAATATTTTTAGGAATATTCCTTTTAAAATTCTAAATTTCTTTCTTATATTAAATAAAATCTGTGACAAAATTTAAAATTATTTATTTGTTCTCATTATCTAATGTATTCTCTCTCCTCTTTTAAAGAATATTATGATTATATTTTCATAAACATTTTACAAAATATTAAAATTAAGAAACGTAAATTATATTAAAATTAATAAAATAGATATAAATTATATTAATTAATTTATCTCTCCTTATATTAAATTCCTAACTCTTTTTTCAAATATATTTTCCAATTTTTTTTAATTTTTATTCATGTAAGTCTGAACTATTATTTTTGTCAACTTACATATTTAAAATTTAAAAAATTACGGTATAAATAAGTTTGTATAAAACAACTCTTAAATTTATATAGTATATAAATAAGTTCATTTATATTTAAAATTATTTTTCAACTTATATACTATAATTATCATTTGAAAACTTCAATGACTTTTGGACAACATTTATGTTAAATAGGAGAATTTTAGTTCAAAATATATTATTTAATGGCTAATTAATTGTTGGATGGAAATAAATGAAATCTTTAAAATAGAGGAGATATGCATTATGTAAATTTTGATTTCAAATTAGGTTTGTATAGGTTTTAAAAATAGAAGGGAGGTATTTGTAATTAAAGTAAAAATAGAGGAGAGGTTAGTATATTTTAGTCTCAACTTGTTAATGTTATCTAAAACCTTGAATAAATGTTAAACCTTAATTTTGATAATGACAAGTTAGAAAAGATTTATGTTTAACAGTTAGAAAAGAAAAGTTATAATGCTTGAAAGCTATTTTCTTAAATCTATTTTTGTATATTAAAAACTTTCATGTGATTATTGGTGTTACTTTCAATATCTTTGGGAATTTAACCCCCTACTGGCTGTATTCCTTGTGTTACTTCCAGAACTGAGATTCTTAACTTGCTGTTTTCTCATGTCTGTGCTTTTCACGTCAGTACCTAAACTCTATAATTGTTCATACCAGAACTCAGCTCTTTATTTGTTTTTCATCCTTTCAATGCTCCATATCGGAATAATATTCTTGTCTCTTCTGGAATTTAGACATTTTAACTTGAGGTTGTGCTTGGATGGATGAATTTGGGTTAAAAATTTGAATTTGAAATCTCACATTTAAAATTTATAGATTCTAAATTCTTTGTTTGGATGATATAAAAGTTTTCAAATCAAATATTAAAATCTTTTGTTTGAATCTTAAGTAAAATTTTAAATTTTAAATTCTATGCTTGAATTTGAAAACAACTCAAACAATGTTGGTAGTTGAATCCTAATCAAAGTTGATGATATTTGGACAGCCAACTTCCATTGAAACTGGATCGCCAGCAACAACTAGGACCAAATGGCTGACTTCCACCAAGACTAGACCATGAGCACTGATTGGGACTTGACCGCTAGCACCAACTGGGATAGTAGTGTAGGAAACAACAAGGACTGGACAGCTAACTTTCACAAAAACTGGACGGCCAACACTAATTGAGGCTAGAGTTCAGGCGACCATCAGGATTGGATGGTTGACTTATACCAAGACTTGACAATTGGCATTGACTAAGGCAAGACCACTAGCGTCGACCAAGACAAGACCACCAGTACTATCTAGAATTGGATAGCTTCCTGTGATTGGGATCAAACGACCTGATCCTACCTTGACTGGGTTTAATGACTTCAATTAGGACTGGACCGTCAGTGTTTTGTTCTCAGTCAAGGTTATTGGTTCAGTCTTGATCATGGTGGGAGCCTGTTGTCAAATCTTGGTGCATGCTATTATCTGGTCCAAGTTGGTGCTGGTTGTCCTACCTTAGTTGATGCCAACAATCTTCTGGGCTAGTGTCAGTGGTTTGGTCTTAGTGGAAGTCGATTGTCCAATCCTGATTGTCACTTGAACTCTAATGTTAGTCTGTGTTGAAGGTTTAGTCCTGGTTGTGCTGATGGTCTGGTCCTGGTCAAGGTTGCCAGTTCGATCCTGTTCACAATAGGATCTGGCTATTTGATCTTGATCGCAAGCAGCTATCTAGTCTTGGTTGGTGCCTGCAGTCTTATCATGGTTGACACCACTAGTCTTGTCCTATTTTGTGCGAACAGTCTTGTCCCAATTGAAGTCAGTCATTTAGTCCCAATTGTCACCTGCATTTTGGTCCCAATTGGTGCTAGTGGTTCGGTCTTGTTAAAGGTTGGCCATCTGATCTCAATTAGTACTGGCGATTCGATCCTGATGGAAGTTGGCCGTCAGGTCCCGATTGGTGCCAGCTGTTCAGTCCTAGTCATAGCAGCCTAGTCTTAATTAATAGTGGCGTTGGTCCTAGTCGCCGCTTGCAATCTGGTCATATTCAATGCAGCCAACGAGCTAGTCAAATTACAAAAAGGTTGAGGTAGGATTTGAAATAATAAGAGTTTAAAAAAGATTTTAAATTATAAAGAGTATAGTACTTGGATTCCATATATTTTTAATTATCTAAATAATGAATTTGACTTAAATTCAAATCCTTATGCTTCCAAACATAGTATCAAAGTTTTCTTTTCTCAAAGCTACTTCCTATACAAATCCTTATTTCTTCAGGAACTAATGTTTCTGTCATTATTTCTAATATTTGTATTTGTTAAAACTTGATTTCGTGAACAAATTCCTTGTTCATACCGAAACCAAGAAAGTCTTCAACTCTAAATCAACATGAGTTTACTAGTATTCATATCCTTTCAAACTTATGCTTTTCTAAATCAATAGCTGACTTCTGGAATTTCTTACTTCCCATATTCAATCAATTCCGAACAAAAGCTCTTGTACTGCCGATATTCAAATTTGAAACTCAACCTTTATTTTCTTCTAAGATACAAATTCCGGATCATATGTTGCCTTTATCCAAATACTATCTTTAAAATACTCAAACTATTTTATACTATGCTAGAATTGAAATCTTTTCCCAAATGAAACTAGAGTTTCATATCAAAATAAAATTTGAATAATGAGCTTTTAAAACAAATGAGGTTTAGAGAAGAAAAAAGCTTGACATATGTCTAGTCCTCAAAATTACATTTAAGAGTTTTCACTAAAATTACAAACTTTAAAGAGTGCTTGCAACCACAATATATACACAAGAGTTCACACGTTTTGATTTCACTTTGCAACCATTTACAAACCTTGTAAGCAATCAAACACTTGATAAAAGCTTTCTCTAAGATTTCAGAATAAGAAACAAGTTTTCTAAACCACAAATTCTCAAAAGAGAAGATAGAAATACGATAAAAGCTATTAAACCTATAACAACTACAAAAAAATTATTGTTTAGAGACACCTAATAATCTATCTCCAACTAGTGAAAAATTCATCTCTAAATAAGTAGAGACAGATTTAAAGACGAATATTGTAATGTTTCAAAAAGGGGCATAACTAAATAATTAGAGATGGATTTGTTTACGTCTTTGCAGATTAGAAATGGATTTTTTTTGTCTTTAAATAAAAAATGCCATCTCTAAATTTTCTAAAAAGTCCGTTGTTATAAAATACTCTAAAAATTATATAAAATAATAGAGATGGAATAAAATAGTTTCTAAATCTATATCTAAAAAATGAAAAATAAATTCCTCAGGTCTCCATTACCATGTCACCTGCCATGTGTGAATTAGCCAATGCCATGTTATTTAACACTTGACTGCCCACGAGTGCATATGCATGTGCCAACTCACTTGCATATACATGGGTCAACCAATGTCACATCACGCATCATGTCACCACCACCACGTGCCATATCATATTTTTGTTACAAAATATGTTAAGGCTAAGATTAGATCCCTTGACCTCCCCACTTTCAAAGCTTTAAGTCCTCCTTTTTTATGATTTGAATTGAAATATACCAACAGTTATTATATATAAAATTAAATATATGTTATTTAATTACATACACATATATAAAATAATATATTATTAAAAAGATATACATACATTTTATTTTATTTTCAATTATTAATATGATAAAATTATTTATATGACTATTTATATGATATTTTCAATAAAATATTATTTTGTTAGGAAGATGAACTTAAAATGAAACAAATTTTTA